CGCCTGAATTCTTAGTGACCCTTTAGTTAATACACAAAACACCACCAGTCGCGGAAAGAAAGCAGCAGAGCTTGATGTTGGACGTCTCAAAGCGGTCGGCACTGTGTCGCTAACTCCGTCTACATACGGCTCTGACTTGTTACTATGGGAACGGGAGACTCCTGCTGGCGCGTGCTGAAATCAGGGCAAAGTCTAATAAATTATTAATAATACTAATACTTCTACTAATAAAAACCTGATCAGTAGGGCAGGACTTTTGTGCAATTAAATTACATCGGACATTTGTGCAATATTTGATAGATAGATAGATAGATAGATAGATAGATAAATAGATAGATAAGTGCATAAATAGAAATTAAAAATTGAATTAAAATTGCCCATTCCACAGTCCAGTCCAGTTGTGGTGTGATGAGATGTCTCATCTCATCTCATCTCATCTCCACTTTGAATTTCTATGACTTCTGCATGCTTTCACCCACCATCCAAATGTTTGGAACTGTTCAAACTGTTTGGTCTTTTATAGCAGTGGTGGAAGAAGTACTGAGATCTTTTACTTAAGTAAAAGTTACTACAATGCAGACATACTCTGTTACAAGTAAAAGTCCTGCATTCAAATGTTTACTTTAGTAAAAGTACAAAAGTATTACCATCAAAATATATACTTAAAGTACCGAGAGTAAAAGTAAGCGCTATGCAGTATTTGGCTAATTTCAAAAATATATAAAATATCATTTTATTATAATGTGTTCATCACTTCAATGTTGCAGCTGGTAAAGGTGGAACTAATTTTAATGACTAGCCTATATATACTAATGGGTAGGTGAATTTATAATAAAACACCATCATTTATTAGTTGATTATATTTTGTATTAACGATCATAATCTGTGAAGTAATGAGTGACTAAAGCTGGAGTGGAGTAAAAAGTACAGCATTTCCCTCCAAGATGGAGTAGAAATACTCATTTCATACCATTTTCACCATGCACCACTATTTTCCACCACTGCTTTAAAGGCATTTCTGCTGTGAATCTGCTTTTTTTCTGCCTTTTAAAAATTTCTCTGCTTTCTCATCATTTTATATAAAGGTAGTAATGATAATAATACAGAGCATTTCCTCTTAGAGGCCTTTTTGACTATTTATCTCAGCTTCCAGCTTATTAAACTTTACTTCCAGCTTTCCTGCAAAGTCTTTCTGCTCTTAGGTTCTTCAGGTGATTCACTAACCAGGTAACAGGAGCTCACAGTGGTGACTTTGGTGTTGGCTCGGTTTTTAAAATAAAATAGATCAGCAGTGTCCAATCCTGCTCCTGGAGAGCTACTGGCCTGCATGTTTAAGGTCTCTTCTTACTCTGCTGGTTATAATGATCTGCTCATTATCAAGCACTCAAAGCTTGTTAAGAGCTTGATAATTGGCAGATCATTTGAATCAGGTGTGATAGAGTAGGAAGAGCCCTTAACAATGCAGGGCAGCAGCTCTGCAGGGCTTTTAACCCTCTATGGTACGCATCATGATGCCAGTTGGTAAAAAAATGTTTGTGATGTTTTTTTGTCATAAAATAGACCAAGTAAACATAATCAAGAGACATTTTCAAAAAATATAATTTTTTTTGTAATTTTTTGTTGATGTTGCCATGCGGCAATACTGTACGATAGTGGAAATTAATGAAAACAGGAGAGTTTTGTTTATAATTGTAAAAACCTTTATTTAAAAACTCAGGTTATAGTCTCAACAGTCCCCAGTAGCATCAACAGTTAGAAATGCATCTCATTTGAAAGTTAAAACAATTTAAAAATATATTTTTCATCATTTCATTCAAATTTTTGTGCTATATCATTTGAATAATTGTTTTGATTTGATCTGAGTGTCTTGATGCTGCCGTCTTTGCCAAACAAATATCCTTAGTATGTTTATGAATCTACCAATTTAATGCAATACATAAATAATAGCTGCACTTTCACCCTAACTGTCCTCCCTGTCTTTGCTGTCTCCACTGTCCTCGCTATCTCCACTGTCCTCACTGTCTCCACTGTCCATGCTGTCTCCACTGTCCTCATTCTCTGGCTCATAGTCTTCATCATTCTCACTGTCTCCATCATCCTCACTCTCTCCTTGCTTGGTTGCAAGCTGCTCATTTTCTTCATCACTAAATCCTAATTCATCCTCACTACCATCTACAGGAAGGGCTAGTTTGGCTTTCTTCCGTGAGGAACCATAAAACACTGTTGCGTTCATTCTGTAAATGGAAGAAAAAGTGTCAAATATAATCATATGCAATGCGGAAAGGACTCACAAAGTGCATTATTATAGTAGACTCTAGAAGATCAGTGTATACCAATGTAAGTGCTAATAACTTTAACTTTACTACATCTAACATTCAAATGTGTATCTGTCAAATTGATGGACCTGAAAAAATAACTAAATGAGTCCACATGGTACAATATGCTTTTGAACAATGTAGGCCTATAACTTAATCCAAAATGCTATCAACATGCCAGGCTAGCAATTCAATGGTAGCTAATAATAATGGTACAGTGTTGCCATATGGCAACTTCCACATTTTAACAGTTTAACATTATTAAATGATCAAGTACAGTGCAATAAACTACAGAATAGTGAACTTACCTCACTTATTGTTGAGTATGTATTTTTTTCCCCGTCGAAAAATGTCATAAAAATACGTTTTTAGATGATTTTTGAGGAGTCAAAGGCTCCTCCCTGTGAAGAGGTCTGCAGAAAAGGGCTTCAAAATTCCCTCTAGAAAGTGATGTGACAAATTTAAACACTGCTATTGGTTCTCTTAGGACCCCACCTCTCTTTCAATGCACTAAATCATAAAAGGGGAGGTATTGTGTGTGTGTGTAGAAGGAATTAAATGGGTTTGTTACCAAATGGCAACATCGTACCATAGAGGGTTAACACTGATAGATATTCACACTCTTTTCAAAATGGAGTAAACCAATTATTTCACCAGTTGATCACGGCTGCTGTGTATAAATAAAGAAATAAGGGTTTACCAGCTGCTGTTTATCTGTCAACGATGTTACAGGTGCCAGTGAGGTGCCATGCACCCTCTTAGTGTTTCTCGAAGTTAACAATCCTTCCTTGAAAGGATCATACAGAGGTAAGGCAAGACTCCTTCCTAGAATTCAATGAACACAGTTGTGTGACTTTTAGGGAGAATATATCTCTGGATTATACTTTAAAAAAAACATGTAGCGCTCCATCATTGCTGTAAATTATTAATTTAAAAGCTTTTATTTTTTATCTAAATCACGTTATTTTAAACAACAACTGTGTTCCTGTGTCTGTCTCTGATGGTTTCTAGTCTACTTTTGTACAAGAAAAATTAAATTAAACAAGAGTTTAAACTGGAGAAGTATCTGTTGCATGAAAATTAAAAGTACAGACAGGCTAGTATTTAAACCATTCATTTATGTTTAAATTAATTTTGTTATTACAATTAGATAAGCCAAAAGTAATTTGTAAACTAGGTACTTTTTTGAAGAATGTCCTTCCTCTTACTACTCTCCGGCCCCTAGCTTGTTCTTCACATCCTGGGCCACCTGTCACAGTCATCCAATATCCTGCCACACAAGGTAGAATGTAAGACCTAGAATGTGGTTTTAATTGATTCATGCATGGGCATCATGCAGAAAATCTTTGCACAAGTCCATACAAACAATCAAAGCTGCCATCACCTCCTCCCTCACCTCCTCTCCTGCAATAGAAATGAAAGTCTCCCCTCTGGTGTTAGAGGACAGCGAGGCTCCAGAACAGAAGGGACAGCTATATGGGGACGAGGCCCTGCAGGAGCTGAAGAGCCTGGGTAGGGACCTACAGATCCTCTGCCTTCAGGTGAAGCAGCAGTTGGGTGGAAACCAGAGCTCGGAGGAGTGGATCCAGGTGGGTTTCAACATTGACCGCCTGCTTTTTGGCACTTACATCTCCTTCATATTAGTCATCTTCATAACCATGGTGCAGTCATACAACACATCCCGATTATGCTGATTATGATTATTGTCTTTAAATATTTTGGGACTTTTCCAAATTATTATTTGTTAACATGATTCCTCATATTCCTCATCAGTTATTACTACAGAGAAAGGCTGAGGGTTGGTTGTATTTGTGCAGTTAAAAGTAATGCATCTCCATTTTTACACTGAGCTGTCCACCTTTACAATTTGATATTTTGTGTTCATTTCTTTTATTTAAAATGATCTTGGTAAGTTAATTTGTAGGGCACTGAGGCACTGAAATGAATATTTGAGAGATTTTCTTGAAACTCCTGTTGTTTCTCCTCCCAACTTGTCAGTTACGCAACAGATGTTTGCATACTGCAACAGCTGGGTCCACAGTATTCACTCTACCCTGGAGGTTTCTTGTAAACATGTTCCTCTGTCCTACAAGTTATTTTATTTGCCCTTCTCCTGAGTCTAAGTCCAGGACCTGATTTCCCAAAAGCATCTTAAAGCAAAGATGACTGTAAAATCTGTTTTTACCTCTTAAGCTTAAGAGATGTTTCCTTAAAGACAGTCTTGATGACAGTGATGATCCTGACTGTACTTCTCTGTAATATAATGCACTAATACAAAAGAGAATATGTTGTAAGTCTAAACTCTCCCAGTTCCTCCTTTGCGTTTAATATTCATAGGAAAACATTTCGTTTGGGAGCAATAAAACAAGTTGCCATTAATGGAAATCATCTCCTGTGTGTGTCTTTTTCTCTTTACATTTGATTAACATCTATTTCAAAAACAAAAATAGCCTACACTGGAAATCATTTCATGCATTGTGTTTCAATTAGCATCCACTAATGTTCTCCAATCTGATTTCTGCAGCTCTATCTTGACCCTTTTGTATTGTGCATAAAGTAGATTTGAGTTGGGCTACTGATGCAGGCCCACTGCATGCTGAAGTGTGCACTTATAATGTTTGTTCGGGGTGGGCCAAACTGCCAAAAATAAACAGACCTAACAAGTGAAACCAAATAAAAGTTGACAACAACATTGCTTGCATTTAAATGAAATGTAAGGGAAACAAAACTCACCTGTTTGCTGTTTTTCTTTATTTGACATGACACCATTGTTATTTTGACAAACATGACATGTAGGTGACCCAGTTGGAAATGCTGTCAGTGGGACAAGGTATGAGGTTCAGCTGACACAGACAAGATGATGGAGGTGAAGACAGTCAGGCTCATTTTCATCTGTTTTTCACTGCTTCACGGTAAGAAAGACAGATTTTTGACAGTTTTCCACAGTAAATTGACAAAACAAAAAAGACAGTTAATAGAGGATACTCTGTTAAAAGCTGGAATATAGTCAGCCGGGAGAAACTTAAAGAAATCTTGACTTTTTGAGATTTTTTACAAGAAAATACAAGCTAAGCTGAAAAATAATTAAATTGAAATTTGAAAGTTTGTGTCTTTTCTCACTTTATATTTAATAAGCAATAGAAAAAAAGATTATTAATTTAAAAAAAAATTAATAATATGATGATATCGGCCTTAAAGTTTGATCTCTGTCCTGCATGATAAGATGCATTTAGTTCATTAAGTCTTACCCCATTCTGTACAGCATACAGAGAATGATCTGCGTGTGAGCAAATGCAAATAAATACTTCTGTTTGGGCTATCTCATGAATTTGATTTTTTCCCCTTACTCTCATTAAACTCAGGTTTTGCTGAAGCACTGAGATGCACCAGCCCAACTCTTGAATCCTTGTTTGATGCACTTGAGAGAGAAGTATTTAATAAAAAACATCTGCGACCTGTAAAAAAACCCACAGATGCACTCAATGTTTCAGTCGGAATGACTTTGGAGGGAATTTTAGGAGTGGTGAGTTCAAAAGTTGTACAAAAATATATTCATGCTTGCATAGAAACATGTGTATTTTTTTTTAACTAGGCTACCATTAGTGAACTGATCATTCAGAATCATATGTCTCATCCCCAGAATGAAAAAGCCCAGTCCGTGACATCACTCTTATGGCAAGTCCTGGTAAGTTTTCAGAGCACTAACAAAATGTAAATTATTTATAAATACGTTAAGATCTTTTGGCATACCAGAAATTTAAATAGTCTGTAAATTGATGTTCAAATACCATGATCTTAACAATGTTAAACATTACAGTGTCTTATTGTTATTGTGTAAATTGTGTTTTTCAACATAGCATTTTGAAATGGAACTCCTCATATTGTTCTCTGTTGATACAAGTCACAAATATGAAGACACAGACATTAGTTTGGCGTTCTAATGAATATTTATGAGAGCAGGATGGTGTATGTTGGTTGTATGATGTAAAATAAATAACAGTGTCCATGTTTCCTCAGTACTGGTAACACTGAGGGAAGTCTGCACCTTGTTTATTGTCCTCAGAACGAGGCTGCACGCCGACATTTTCAGACCATAATAAAACAGGCTGCAGTGAGAGTCTCTCTCCATGGGATAGCCTATGTAAAAACTGGGGTTGGTGCATTTAGTCCTTCTAAAGCACTATTCGGACGGGATTAGTTTTACATAGGTACATGGGGTAAAGTAAAAATTACCATAGATTTTAGTCCCGTCCGAATGTGCCATGTCAGTAATCATTACCACATGATGTCAGTAAAAATTACCGCGACTTTTACCTTCTGTAAAAGGGTCCCGGACAATTACCTCAGATAACACTAATCCCGTGCGAATAGACCAGCAGTAAATAGGCTATGTGTGTTAGGGCTGTCAAAAAAAAAAATCTAAGTTCTAAATATATTCGAATATAGCCTACATATTTTTTTATAAGTTCGAACCTAACTTTGATAATTCGAATATCATTAATAATTAATTAATACTATTAATAATGATGTATATCACGTCGAATCCCGTTCGGGCGGAGATGGCTCGCAGAGAGGGACGCAGCGTCGGAGGGAGAGGCGCCGGCGGAGGAGCCCGCTGCGCCAACACCACCCACTGCGCTGTCCGCGATGCGTGACTTGTTCGGGGAGACATACAGGGAGAGTGTTGCACCTGCTGCCTCCCTGCCTACCCTTTTTGAAGAAGAGATGAAACGTTACCAGAATGAGACACCACTACGAGCCGACCAGGATCCACTCTTGTGGTGGAAAACTACGCACTTAGGCTAAGTATCCAAACATTGCTCAGATAGCGAGGAAAAAGTTGATCATACCTGGCACTTCAGTGAGGTCAAAGCGGGTGTTTTCATCTGAGTGTCACGTTCATATTGCGTCAGCAATAAGCATCTTATTTTTTGTGTTTTTTTGTAAAAAAAATAAAATAAATAAATAAATTTGAATATTATTCGAACTAACTTAATTAAAAAATATTCAAACTCAATTTCATGGTGCTTTTGGCAGTCCTATCATACGCACATGACGACAGGAGGGGACGGCGGCAGTTTTACTGATATTTCTTATCCTGTGCTAATCGGCCATTAATATTACCAACGTCCTGTGGTAAAGTGACATTACCCCACATGCCCATGTAAAACTAATCCCGTCCGAACAGTGCTTAGACAAACGCAGTGGTTTAGTGTTGCCTGAGCCCACAGAAAAGACTAACCGTGAAGCTTTTTGAGGATTAGAATATATGTAGGCTAATACATAAAACACGTCAAAATTACCTGTATAAACACTTGAAGATCCACTCATTACTAAAAGTGTATGTCATATAAAAACTAATGGAATGGTCAAAGTTGTCGCACTGAAATTTAAAGCCACAGTGTGTAGGAATTTCTCCCATCTAACGTTGAAATCATATATTGTATTCAAACAGATGGCGCACTCTAGCGCCTCACTGTTTCAAACACGTATTGCAACAACTGTAGCCGCTGTGTACCAAAAAGCTATGATAACACTGATGAAACCATGTCATCCGATACTACATGGAGTATTCATTCAGGCTCCTACACAGACACACGCGACGCGAGTTGACAAACCCCCTCCTCACCATGCTGGCTGTGTTTACAACGTAGGACTGTTGGGGCGGATGTAAATTGAAACAAACCGATCACGTCTTGTCCTTTGACAACTGACAAGTGGCTCAACCTCACACACCTCATCCCTCTCCTCGCAACACTGCGCCGCTAACAGCTGTTAGTGGCCAGCGGCACTACTGCAGCATAACAAAGTCCCACTCTTTGAGCATAATGCATGATCATGTATTATGCAGCATCACGGGAGACGGAATCTTCGTCGCCAAGAAAGTGCAAAAGGGAATCAAAAAGGCAGCGTGACTGGCGAATTAAAAAAAACAAGCCGCTGTTAGCGCTGGCCTGTGATTGCATTACCATTCTCCCTCAGCAGCTCTCTCTACCTGGGAAAGGCTACCCCGATGTGGGCCTTCGTTTTGTTAATTCGCCGGTCACGCTGCCTTTTCTATTCCCTTTTGCGCTTTCTTGGCGACAAGGATTCCGTCTCTCATGATGCTGCATATGCATGATCCTGCATTATGCTCAAAGAGTGGGACTTTGTTTCAAATTTGCCAGGGTAGTAGCAAAGCGCCTCTTGCTCCTCTCCGGCTCCTCAGTCACGCAGTGCTGGCCTGGCTCTCAACGAAAACACCGAAGGCGGGGCTGTATGTCCCTTGCTGGCGGGTGTATTCTCAAGATGGCGAAACGTAATGGAACCCCACAGACGACTTACCCGCACAATGTACAAACAAATCCGAAATTCTCCTTTTACGAGAATAAGTCAGATTATTGGTGGAGGTAATAGTACACCAGTGATGACATATTTATGAATGCAGACATCAATTTTTGCCAATAAACAACTGAAAATGTTACACAATGTCCCTTTAAGGTGTGTTGATGGATTCACGTAGTCAACACATGCACTGAATAACATTACAAGTAAACACTCTGCCCCAAAAGTTGCCGGCAGTCGGCCCACTGAATTAATTTTTTTTTCTCAGACTCCAGCTGCTGCAAGAGACAGCGAAACATCCTTTCATTTTATAGTTACAGTAATAAAACTCTTCATGTATGAACAGTGGTTACATAAGCCTCAAACCAGCCACAACTCAGCCCTGAGCAGAGTGACCGTCTGCTACCGACCAATCAACAGACTGCAGTGTTCACAGCTCCACCTTTTAGTACCAGATCTGTGTGCTAGGTACCCCAACAGAGGGGGGACCAAAAATGGGGATGTTAAAGAACAGTTGCATTGGTGCCATCCACAACTTTTCACATGAACCGTACCATACTGCTTGGTGGAAACAGGGCTTATGTGTCAGCCCTGCCACAGTCTGGCAACCAAGGTCCAATGCAGGATAGTTATTTTTGTTTTTATGACTGAAACAGAACCCAGAAGTTTCTCTAGTTTTGCTAATATTTGTTAGTAGTTTTTTTTTTATTGTGGTCTTTGGCATTTGATAAGAGCACGTTCAGCAGATGCACTGCAACATATGCAGAGGACAGAATGATGCATCTAGACTGGAGAGGGCTGTGGCCAGTGGAATTGCCCCCACCGCCTCCCTTAGTCAAAACTGGGACTATTTCAACTTGTAACGTGTCTAACTTTGGTGGATCATAACACATCGAGTATTGAATTAATCTGCAGATGCTCTGGTTTATTATAAGACCAAACTTTTTATGGATATCAGTGTTTGAGCCACGACGATGACCAAAATGTAGCTGAGGTGATCTCTGGAAAAGTTGCAGTCCCTACAGGCTGGTTAAGAGGAGTGAGGAGTCAGCAATCAGTGATGATATGAAACAATCAGTAATGCAAGTTTTCAACAACTGTGAACACAAAATGTTAGGCTGATTGGTTCAGTAGTTTGCGAGATTAGACAGACGGATACACACACACACACACACACACACACACAGAGTCATCAATGCGCACTTATGCTTTAAATTAAACTATGTAAAGAATGTAGTGACACAATTACGTGGTACATCATGCTGATGTTGTTCTGTTTAATGTAGGAGTGGGATATAGAGGGACTGAGCTGGGATGAGAAGGAATGTGGTGTTAGAAGAGTTTCTGTCCCTCGAGACAAGCTTTGGATCCCAGACGTCATCATTGCGGAGATGTAAGTTAAAATTACGTTCAGTACTCTGTAAAGAAAACAAAAGTAATCACACCATCAATAGACCCTATCTCCTAGACAATGGCAGCAACTTTATAGCTGTTGGACACGCAGTGGAATATCTTTCATGCTTCTTTTGGACATATTACATGTATTATGTACAAACAAGAACTGTGACCACTTTAAAATATTTGGTGGTTATTTCGTGAAACAAAGGGAAAAAGTCAGCTGAGTAGAACATTCATTACTTTAATGTACAATTATTATTTTCAACTTCCATGTTATTTCTTTTCAGCATGGATGAGGACACATCTCCTTTTATTCCCTACGTCTACTTATACAACACAGGTCGTGTGTATGATGATAGGCCATTAAGAATGGTGACCTCCTGCCGATTAGAAATCTACACTTTTCCCTTTGATATCCAAAATTGCTCGCTGACCTTTGGACCATTTCTACACCTTGGTAAGTCTGCGGATAAAACAAAGCCTTATCGCCAGAAGAAAATTTTGGCATTGCACATTTCTGCAAATACACTATATTTTTACATTTTACATGTATCATATAAATGTTTGTACAGGGACTAAATATGTAAGCTGACTTTATCAGCGGGAAGTGGAGGGGTTGATGGATGGCGTGTCACATAGGCTATACGCCTGCTAAGCTGCAGATCACTGTTCTGGACCAACACAGAAACAACGTTGTGATTTAGCAAGTCATTGCTGTGTTCATCACGTTTTTTTTTTTAGGTCCCAAACGTGGGTGTTTTGTAGCAACTGGTTGCAGTCTGTCCAGCGGCTTTTTGGACACTTTTTAGTTTTTGACAGAGTCATCAGTGCATTTCCTACCAGGTTTGTGCCCCCCAGCTGGGGTCTTTAAGGGCAAAACATGATCTTTTTTTTAACCACAACCAAGTGGTTTTTGTGCCTATTTAACCACAGCTTTGCTGAAACATAAAGTTTCAATCTGCTACATAATGACATGCAAATATAATGTATAAATGTTAACGAACTATTTATGTTATTTGTATAGCACCTTTCATACAAACATGCAGCCCAAAGTGCTTCACATGGCAAAATTGGAATCACACAGGCACAAGACAGTAAAATATTAAAAAAGCAAACCAACCAAAACAGAACAATCTAACAAAACAAATGATTAAAACTCCACACAGAATAAAAAGAGAGTGAATAAATACATAAAATAGCATAAAAATAACCATAACTGTAAGGTTACTCCACATTAAAATCCAGATTAAAAAAGATAGGTCTTTAATTTACATTTAAAATTACCAAAATCAAAGTTTTCATTTCTGAGTTTAAGAGTTTAATTACTTTTTTGGTTGTTCTTGTTGTTTTTTGCACTAATTATGCATTTCCAAAGATGAAAACTAAATGCTTTACACAAGTCAAGCCAAAATTTCAGTACGATTAAATAAATGAATTCAAATATCTTCAGGGGCGGCATGGTAGTGTGCCGCACAGCAAGAGGGTTGCCAGTTCGATCCCGGGCGTGGGAGCCCTTCTGTGCGGAGTTTGCATGTTCTCCCCATGTCAGCGTGGGTTCTCTCCGGACACTCCAGCTTCCTCCCACAGTCCAAAGAGGTTAGGTTAATTGGTAACTCTAAATTGTCCATAGGTGTGAATGTGAGCGTGAATGGTTGTTTGTCTCTATGTGTCAGCCCTGTGATAGTCTCGCCCGATGTCAGCTGGGATAGGCTCCAGCCCCCCCGTGACCCTCAAGAGGATGAAGCGGTTAGAAGATGAATGAATGAAATATCTTCTTATATTTACAAACTCAGCTTTTACAGCTCTGCTTTACTCATGTGCATGACCTCACACAGACTGAGCATCTAATAATAACAAACTTTCCTGAAATTGTGATCCAGTGGAAGATGTAAGGATGTTTGCACGTTCCTCAGCTGAAGAGATCCTGGCGGAGTCTAAAAACGTGATGCAGATCCAAGGGGAATGGGAGCTTTTAGATATCAAAGGAGCTCCAAGAACCTTGAACATAATTGCTGGAAGCTACTCTGAGATCAGATACTATGTAAGTTATTTTATGTAACCATTTATTAACATGTGGAATCATTTATCCTTTCAGCATCGATTTTAATTATTTATGTGATTAATCCTGGAAAGATTAAATTGATAGGACATGCTAAAAATGCCAACATGAAAGTTTTTTCTTTCTTTCATGTTTGAGTTTAAGGAAGTGAGGGTTGTGGATGTTTTTGTGGATATTTTATCATAGGAGAAGCATGTCAACAGAAAACAATGTGAGGGCCAATGATGGATCCCTGAGGGGCCACCAAAAAGCATCAGAAACTGCAACACAGTTTCACAGGGGCTTGTAAAGGCCAATATTCTTGGCAAAAGTCTATTTTAGTGATGGTAAGACTGATATTGTAAATTCTCACTAAAAACTTGTTTTATCTTAAGATTATTTTGAGACGTAGGCCAATCCTCTATGTTGTAAACCTCCTGATGCCCAGCTGCTTCCTCATCGCATTGGACCTCTTCAGCTTCCTGCTGCCTCCCCATAGTGTGGACCGGTCCTCCTTCAAGATGACCCTCATCCTGGGCTACACTGTTTTCTTGCTCCTCATGAACGATCTGCTGCCTGTCACTGGAAATTCAACACCTCTCATGAGTGAGTGACACCTGTGATAGTTTTAAATTAGCCAACTACACCTCATATTGAGATGAGGGCCATGCTTTTTCTTTTATATTTAGACTAGCGTTTCTTCTTGACCAGATGCCTTGCTACATTATTAGTACCTTGCCCTCTGAAAAGCTGGTTCTCTTTGAAGCATTTTGCTCAGTCAGAGTGTAATTTTAACTAAGGTCAATGTAACAGCTCCACGAACTACATCCTCCGATATCAACATACAGTTAAACTGTCTCTAAAACACCTTCACCAAGACCTGAACATTATACCCTTTGTGATGGGAGGATTTGTTGCAGGACTGATAACCAGTAGCCATAACCAGTACATTGGCAACCGAGTGTGTAAGTTTGGTCTCACCTAACACTTCTGTTGCTAAACATAAGACATTACTACACCAACACCGGCACATGCAGACTTGAGTCAACCTCCTTAAGTGGACATTCTACCTAAATAAAATGAATCTTGTAATACTGTACATGTGTTCATATATCGGCAACACAAGATATCGAGCAGATGCTTGAAAGAGATGCTATAACCCTAACCCTGCTTCTCTGATAGCACATGTGAGCTACAAGAAATCTGTTACCCACCCTTAATGAATTCATTTTTAATGAAAGAGTCTCTTTATTTCTTTCCACCCTTTTTGTGTTTCCTGCAGATGTTTTCTTCTCGATCAGCCTCGCTCTGATGGTGGCAAGCCTGTTGGAGACGGTGTTTATCACTAACATCCAGCTCAGTGGTGACCAGCACGGTGTGATGCCTAACTGGCTCAAAGTCCTCGTGTTACGATATCTAGCTGTTATTGTTTGTGTCCCCCGGGCAAAGAGGAACCGCCACGTCGCAATGTCCCCTCATGCACCTGCCAGAGGTACAATAAATGATCTTCTTTTTACTGTAATTTTGTATAAAGTTTGTTTGAACAAAGTTCTTATGATATTAACTGTATAAGAAAATAGTGCGTTAATGTTCATTCTGTCTTCTTGATCTTGGAAACAGTAATTTGTAAAAATGATTTGAAGAAATAATGGATATAGCTGCTGTGACGTCGCTAATGAGTTTGTCGACTCCTATTTTGAAGCCTGGAGTAAAGCATTATGGATGTTGCCATCTTGGTTATTTGGAGCTAGATCTGATTACATTTGGGTGAGAGGCTGGCGCCTTTGAGGAGCAAGGGGTGGAACTGATTGAGAGCACCACAACACTATCAGCAGACAGCCTGTCAATCAAAGTAGCCTGCCCTTAAATATGAGTAACTTTAGGCCTTAATTAAATGTAAACAGGTGAGTTGTGTGTCAGTGTAGCTGACTGGGAACCTCCAGGCAGGTCTTCCAGCTCTGGTGTTTAATTTGCGACCGCCACAGAGGGACGGCCACGCACAAAAATGAGCTCATTATGCTAACCTCAGCAAATGCTGCTGACAGCGGACAGCTAAAACATTCAGGGTGGAACTCTTGTTTGTGGACTTTGGTTCTGCATTAAAGACATAAATCTGCATGCACATATGCCACCTACCAAAGTTGGGAGTCAGAGTGACTGTGTTACACACCACTGCTGAACTCTACCTGCATTTGGCAAGTGTGTGAGTGCTTATGTCAAGCCCTGATTGCTGTCTGTTGTTTAAACAATGTGTCACACCATGCATCACACTAACTCTAATCTTGATTTTTTTGTTGTTGTTTTTTTTTTTACATATCCAGCAATGAATATCAGCAGTGTCTCTGTTGATACACCCCCTGTGACACCCCTTCATGAGCCAGCTCTGGATGAACTGAGAAAGCTGAGCAAAGATCTCATGGCCATCCGCCACCACGTGGACAAACACTTCAAGGGGAACCATATGTCACAGGAATGGCAAATGATAGGGATTGTTATTGACCGTCTGCTATTCGGCTTGTACATTATTTTCATCTTGATCTGCTTAATCACCATTGTATGTGTCTGGACCGTGAGTAGCTCACATGTAAGTTCATGATGAGGAGAGCTTAATCACACATGCTTGTTTTGATCATCAGCAAAAGTATGGCAGGTTGGCTGTTTATACAGTTATAAAGACAAAATTAGAAAAAATAAAAATAAAAGTAGAATACACTATACACACACACTGGACTCTGTGCCAACACATGCATCCACCTCTGGAGAGGACAGGAGACATGAGCACAGCTGGATTTCTCCTACCTTTGGGACAAACACATAAAATGTCCCATCAGGATTGGGTATGCATTTGATGAAATGATCTTCCACTATTATTTCTATGTCATTCTTTGTCCACTTAATGTTGATGTTGGGAGGGAAGGAGCAGTTGACGAAGCAAATGAGAGTATTTTCTTCTTCTGTAATCACTTCATCTTTGGGGCAGGTGATGACATCTGAGGCCTGTACTACGAAGCCAGTTCAACTTACCCAAGATATCTTCTTGTCATCTGGCTTGACTAACCCTAACATTGTCCATCTGGATAACCGCTACTACAAAGCTGGTTATCAGCTAGTTCGGTCAACTCTGGGTTTTCCTATCCAGCCACGAGTGCGTTCATGTCAAAGAGATGAGGGTGTTAATTACAAGCAGCATCATCACAACCATGAATGAATTAGGATACTTCATATGATATCGTCCATGGACACTTTTTCTTCAGTGATCTGATTAGTCAGAGGTCGGGGTGTTGACAGGCTGTGATCTGATACCCTGAAGTTAACCTGCTCCAGGGCAGGTTAACTATTCAGCATAAGTTACCATGGTGATTTAACTCTGTAAAAAGAGAACCAGCTTCGTACGACTGAAAACCCAGAGTTAACCCTGAAGTTACCTCGCTTACTCCAAATCCTGCTTTGTACAGGCCTCCGGTGTCTCTGAGGGTTTAATTAAGACATAACATTACGTATTTAAATTTTGCAGATTTTTGTAAGAAATACAAGTAAAATGCTGCTGTATCTCTGGCAAATATTGAAAAAAAGATGAATAAAATAAAGACAAAATGAAATGAGTAATATCATGTTGTAGTATTTCTTAGTTTTCTTTGTAGTTCTAGTGAAAGATGAACTGAAGGAACGATTACAATGAACAAAACATATTTCAGTGTCTATGAATACTGTAATCTTTTTCAGGGCAGACTTGAAAATCGTAAAGCTGTCCTAAAATTCACTGAAACTCACCTAAAATGCCTATCCAAGGCCTACCTGAGGTTCATCGAAAGCTGCCCTTGTTCCATTTTTGAAAGGTAACACTCAACAACAATCAGAGTCACTGTAAGCACTTCTGTTATTGAATTAAAGAAATTTCAACACACTGAGATGCTGCAGATGACTAGAGTTGGGAGGTACTAGCTGGAAAACACAATTTTGGGCCATATCTTGAAGCCTCAGCTAGTCCATTTTCAAAGTAGGTAACAATATCAGATAAATAAACATCCTAAACATGTTTATTTTTAGGCTTTGTCCAGGCGCTTTTCAAGAAAAGAGGGTAAAACAATGTTCTGAATGTGTGAATGTGAGTGATAAGTAAACAACACAGACAGAAATGTCTATTTAGGAGCTGACTTAAATCTTGTGCAGGGTCTTTTGTATGGGATTCAAGTGGATACGTAAATCATGAACGAGATACTTTTTTATACTTTTTTGGCTCAGACCAGAGTCCAGCAACAACACAGCTGTGCTCCATTGACTCTACTGCAATCCTTTCAGATTTCCCTAGTTTTCAGGCTGGTTTTGTGGATTTGGAGCTAAATGTTGAGTCTGGGGCACGTTGTGTATTAATGATAGTGTAGGGTTAGCTAGCTAGCTACTGAAGATATAGCCTACTGAATGTATACACATGCTGCTTTTGCTTTTTAATGATTATAACAGTGAAAAAAGACCGACCCTGCTGTACAGGAACCAGTGAAGGGAAGCAGGGAAACTTCGCTGATATTGAACCAGCTGTGTGTCATTGCATTGTGCGCAGATGAGCGTTGTTTGACTTCACCCGGAGATCTCTGCCCGTCTGGCGGGGTACGAGTGCTGGCAGAGGCACAGGGGTGAAGCCAAACACTGCTCATCTGCACACACTGCGATGCCACACAGCTGGTTCAATATCAGCAAAGTTTCCCTTTATATTCATTGTCTTGTGTGGCGATCAGCAGTGATGTGGTGGTTCACTTTTACACTGTGATCTGTAGCCTATAGTTCGGCTTTAGCTTCTAACTATCTTTGTCTTTTTAACCTGTTGTTGCTGCTGAGTCAGTTTGACATCCTGGATATATCCTTCAAACACAGACTGTAGACCCCTCTGTCTGCTTCCCTCTGGAATCACTGTTTCATTTTATAATATTTCTTCAGGAAGTGCAGTCACATACTCTGGTGAAAATACGCACTATCAATCTTGAAAGTCCGTGACAGATTAAGTTAAAACTACTCAACCTCCCTCAGTCCACAACACACACAAACTGGTCTACCCAGAAGACTACTATGTAATGAATGGAAGTGATTTGCAGGTTTGCAGAAACACTCTCATCAGAGAATACCTCTGAATATATTAGGTAAAATGATTTATGTACAAGTACAAGTATAAGGTTGTCTACTGAGAAGTTACAGGCTGAAACAGGCCCTCTAATGTGACAGGAATATAGCTGGGATTGATGCCAGCTGAACACTGGGAGACACAGAGCATTGCTGAGCGCCGGCCAAGTGCTCCAGGGCAACCACTGAATAGACAACATGCTTTCTCTTTTTTCTTTTTTGACAGCGTGGTGCGAGTGAATAAACACAACTGCTCATCATTATACTCGCTACTGTACATCTTTACCTGAGTCGCTGATGCGAGACTTGATATTTTAGACATGGCTCCTTTTGAAAAAGGCTCAGCTTGGCACTTCTGGCTTTCTGAGAAGTCTCTCTCCTTTTTTTTGTTCCCCCCTGTTAAATCAGCCCTACTTCAAAACCTTTCATACAGGGCCATGTTTCAGCTCTCTGTTGGTGGCCCAGCTGCTTTATTGTCTCAGTTGGTAACTACTGTATCTGTCACTCACTGGAGAAGAAGTGAACACCATGACTACTGCAGTAAACAAGCTTTAAGCAGCTCTTTGTATGGCCTTGCACACGTACACACAGTACAGAGAAATGTACACAGTATAGGGAAACACTGCAGAACTGTACCACAACTTGTGTTTTTCTACTTGTAAGGTAAGCAACACACTAACTTCCTCTTCTGAGAACTGTTTGGGGCTTCATACTAGCTTTAAAAAATACAAATAATGTATATAATGGGATATTTTTGAGGCAGTTGTGTCTACTTTCTACTGAACACACCAAACCTGTGGTTGTTTTTACAGCATTTGTTGCACCACAAGCTGAAAGATTTACAGCAGCTGGTGGTGCCAAGAGCACAGCTAGGAGCCAACAGACAAAATGTTCATCAAAAATGCCAACCGACGAAACCCCAGCCGCCACTATGAATTCTTTCAGCGTAGTCGAACCTACAGGGGGGAACCGCCGGCAGTGGCAGGTAAAGGTCTGCAGCATCAGACATCAGAGTTTGTGATGTTCTGTGATGACTCATTCTCACTTTAATCCACCCAGATTATTCTACTGTTAAAATACATTGTGGCTCATATTGGATAAGTGCTCCCCATGGTGTTTTAAAAATAAATTTGGTTTGCTGTTTGGATTTGAAGACGACTTCAGCATCACTGCTATACAGTTATTTTAACTGGGTTCAAAGTAACTGGGCCCACAGCTGACGTCACTATATTTTACAAGGATAGACTACTGGCTTGGGGTTTTTCCAGTTCAAACACTAAAATAAAAAATACCTGATTTAAGGGAGTTCAGCAAATGTTAAGTGAAGTTAGTCCAGCAGTGACGTGTTGACTGGAACTACTCCAAAGTAATTTGTTAAAGAGAAAGGCATTTACAAACACTGACCTAATTTGACTTCTCAAAGTGCCTGATTAATTCCTGTAATCAGGCACATTTAAAGAGCACTTTTCACCCTCTCTGGTTTGTCCTGACTTCCCCAGGATTTCTTCTCTACCCGGACACTCCCGCTAAGATGGAGACCACATCACGAGAAGCTTTCTGCTTCAGACCCGTCTCACAACAATACAGAGGCAAAGGTCTGCGGTCTTATCTCAGCCTAGAGAGTAAACTCATTCTGTCTGTTTTAAGATAAGGTGTGAGTCAGTATGTGTTGTGTTTAATGGATGTACTATGTGTGTGTTTTGGAAAAGTTTTAGCTGTGTATATGTGGGTGGAGATTAGGAAAGTGAGTTTCTGAGTTCTTTTATGTAATGGTTTAATCAGGCATGCGGTCATTAAAATGAAATAATAACAATACAGTTACTAACGCTTAAAGGTCCAATGTGGAGGACCAGGGTGCCCACACATTATCATTTAATTTAATTTATTTTATTTTATTTATAAGGACAAAGCACATTAATCAACATTTCTGTAAATGTGCCAGTGTTAGCCAGCTGGCTAATTTTCAGCTGCAGTCGTCTGGCAAGATGCTTTGAAACCAATGAAATGGGCAAACTTTTAAAGCTTTTCCATGACTTTTCAAGGACCCATAATATATGTTTTTTTTCTTGCCTCACTGGCCCAGCATTTTTCAAACATATCAGATCCAAACTCTATTTAAACACAATTTCATCTAGCTGGCATACATGAAGGGAGAGGTGGAAAGCAGGGAGAACATACTTGACACTGGGAGAAGATGGTGCTCTCCAGGTTTAACTAATTTTATATTAAGTCGTCTTCTACTTATATGAAAGTAGAAGACTTGAAGAAGGGGAAATCATTTGGGATGTGTCAACAACAACAGTTAGAAGGAGTTCTAATTTTTTTTCCAGATGTTGCCTCCATAGACGCTGAAAAAAAGATTCATAGGATTATCCATTACTGTGTATGAAATGAAACCCTTACTGATGTTGTCATTACCCTTCAGGTGATCATATAGCCCCGCACACACAACAGGGGTCTCACCGTTCTCATCCCACATCCTCGAGACAAACAGGAAAAGGAAACAGCAGCAGGGACGGGGAGCCAGGGGAGGACAAGCAAGAGGGCGACCATGATCAGACAGCAGTGACAAATGAACCAGACGTGACAGAGATGCAGTCTCAGTATCAGAAAGATTTCCCGCCTCCATCCTCCTGCCACAGGAGGCGAACACCTGCACTCCCACAGCCAGACAACATCGGCATCAACCCTGCCTTCAGGTGAGAGCAAGGTTGTTGACATCACAGTGTGCTACAGCTGAATGTAGAGCAGCTCATCAGTGTGTGTGTGTGTGTGTGTGTTTCTGTTCACAGGATCGAATTTAGCACCATGCAGAGAGAGCATTACCCCGTTTGGCCCATGATGGATCCCAGGGGTGCTGGGAGGCTGAGAGAGAAAAAATGATGTCAAAAACAGTCATGTTTAAAGTTATTACATTCAATCAGCTGGCTATTGAACCCTATCAATCTCACACATTTGTTTTTATAATCAGATTTTTTAGTTGCTTTTGTTTACTCTGTTACATCAGGGTTACTCAGGAGTCACTTCCTTTCAGACAAACTCCTTTCTCACATTTAACTTCGCCTCATATAACATCTGATGAATTTCCCAGCAGCAGGTCAGTCTGATGAGCTAATGGACTGATGATGTGTCCAGGACACGGAGTCACAGGATAAGACTTGATAATCTAATGCTAACACCAGACCTTTTTTTAAAAAAAAAAAATAGATGACTTTAACATTTCCTATTGATGACTTCAGGCAGACATGCAGTCAGCTCGGGTGAAAACAACCCACCCAGTGACTCATGGCTGAAACATGATGTGGGAATCAAACAGCTGAGCTAGATAACTTTTAAATCAAACTATGTATGTTTAAAGATATGCTAATCAGTATATGATTTTATGCATTTTTGTTCTGTTCTGACAGCATTAAAATGTAAGTTCAAACACAAATGAGTGCTTTAGGAAATATCTGAACATGTTTTAATGGCAAATGACAGACTTTTAGAATCCAGATTGGTGACCTTTGACATTTGGCTGAAGCTTAATATGTTGGATTACAATTACAAAGCAAACCTACTAGTGGCAGAACGATATATAAAATACAAGAAATTACATTAAACTGCTTCTTTCATCGAGCAAAATTCAACCCATAGTAACAACAGAATAAAATCTTAATTTTTTAACCAGGAAGATGAAAAGTGACACCATTGTGTTAAAATTATTTTTGGTTTATTTGGTTTTCTGCCCTTGTGTATGGAGTCAGTGTTGCACAAATCCTCATCGGTGGCTTTTTACCCAGTATGACACTTTAAAAATCTTCATCAGTAAAGCATGTATGACATAGAGCAGTGGTTTTCAAACTGTTTGTGCCCAAGGCACTCCAAAGGGTGCCAAAATCTCAAGGCACAATAGACTCTATAACCTGTCTCATCACTCTTATCGTGACATGAATGTTTGTTTTTATTTACTTATATCAAATAACAGCTGACAACCATCTTCACTCATGGAATATTAATTAACAAAATGATTCAAGAATTCATGTTAAACATTTTAAAATCACACCAAAGCACCATTAACACATCCATTTAAAAGGGAAATAATGTAGGATAAAGTGATGTGTCACACACTTATAATTCCCTCGCATGAACGGCAACAAGAAGGTCCTGTGAAGGTTTTTTAAATTAAATTAAAATCACATTTTTTGGGTAGAGTTCGCCTCTTTATTTGGAAATGGGTGCACACAACATACTGATTAAAAAAAATTTCATAACTCTTTGTAGAGGCCCAGTTGAATATTGCAATAATTATGTGTGGCTGTCAGAAAATCCCACGGCACACCACTTGAGAACCACTGACACAGAGAGGCTACATTGGTAAACTGCCTGTTTTAAGAAATCTTACAGTGTTTCAACACTGTGATACTTAAGATTTCAAAACAGAAAGTGAATTGTTGTACTTATGAAAAGAGACAATGTGCAACAGATACAATCTGATCTACTTTGTGTACTCTCTGGATGGTAGTAAAAATAATGACATTTTGTGTATTCAGCTGCAGATTCTGCTTTTAAAGCTTGTGTTTTGTAAAGTTTATAAGGCTTCACTTGGTTGGAAAACACACATATTGTAAAAAAATTTTTTTTGAGAAGTCAATCATTTCTACGTACGGTGCATTTTTTTTTAAAAAAATTTGGTGAATTGTTTCACTGTTGTTGCTGAATTTACACTACAAAAGGTATGTTTTCATGTCAGTTAGATGTCCCTGAGAAATACTCAAGAGCTGAAAAAGGCAGCTCCAGATCGACATACCATTACCATACAGTGCAACTGGATGAGTGTCAACCAGAAAACTTGTCAGTCCACACAGAGCTGCAATGATCAGAAAAATAATTGATCAACTTGGACTTCGAGAAACTGGGATGTACATTGTTCACTTTTTTCTGACATTTCCTACACAAAATCAGGATTAACTGGTAATGAAAACAATATTAGTTGCAGCCCTGATTCCACACCCAACCCGAATTAATGATAACCTAAGAATGTCCTCTGTGACTGAAATGTTTAGTCTGTCTATTAGTCCAGTCTCCTGTGTGCAAATTTGACTGAAATGAGCTGACACTCCTCTTCACTGCACACTTGGCATAAACTTCCTCCACTGGAGGCAGGCAGCTGGACTGTGGATCAATCATCCGTCACAGACAGATCACAGATCACCTTTAAAAGGGGTGAGATTATCTCCGGTGTTAAAGATATGGGCTTCATCTCCTGTCCCGGTGCCTGCTCCTGTCTCCGTGTCTGCGGTCATCCCTCTCCCTGCCTCTGTCCCAGTCATCTCTCCTCCCTCTGCTGCTGCCCCACTCGGCCTCTCTGTGTCGGTCCCGGTCCTCCCTGTCCCTCACCCCTTGTCTATCCCACTCCCTCCCTCCACCACCGCCTCCCCGTTCATGCACCGGACCGACTGCGAGGTTAATGGGTTTACGGAAAGGTCTGTCTCTGCCACCAAACCGCAGCTGTCCGGACTCTTTCTTCCCCCCCTGCCCGCCACCAAGCCGCCGGGGGACCCACCCTTTGAGGGTCCTCTCTTGCTCAAAATCTACAAACAGCTCGTGCTGGTCCACCACCAGCTTGTTGGCGTCCCGGCGAGCTCGGACAACCGACCGCTCCTCCTTGTATTCAATGAAGGCGTATCCTTTGGAGAAGCCCGTGACGATGTCCCGGACCAGCCGGAGCCGCTGGATGTCTCCGTACTTGGAGAACACTTGGTGCAGTTTGTCCTCTGTAGTCTGGGGGTTAAGACGGGACACAAACAGGGTGAGCAGCGGGTCTCCCACGACGCCTTTGTTGGGCTTGTAGCGGGCACCCATAGCCCTCCATACCGCCCGGTCATGGGGCTCCACGTCCGTGCCGTCGATGCTGCCAGCTTTCAGCGGGTCGTACACCTTCGCTATCGGACTCCAGTCAACCATGTTCCTCCAAAATAAAGTTACAAAGGTCTCCTTCTTCAATACAGGCGTTACATTAACTAATAATTAGCTACAGACCCCCATTAATCCCGCTTAATGTTTCACTCCTGCAATTTACCCCAACAGAAAATAGCCAACGGTTAATGCGCGTGCAACAATATAAACATTCCGTAGTGAAACGACTTCCGGTCCGTCACCTTTTAAGGTTCCTAACTCGATTAAAGGGGAACGTGACCTAAATTAAAATGTAAGTTATTTCCATGGCTTAGGAAAGTTCAGTCAATATTTGTATGAACTACTCTCTCTCAAAGCCAGAAACCAGAGAAGTAAATCTCAAACATGTGATGTCATCAATTTGCTGCTCCATAGACAATAATTGGGGGACTAATTTTGTGGATCCACAGAATGTTTGATTTCTTTTTTATACCCAAATGAGCTTTATTTTACTGTGGTGTTCTCAGTTCTGGAAGAGAAAATGTCCCCATGTACTCAGAACATTCCTCAGGGTGCTCTCAGTGTCATCTATAACATCTTTCACCATTCATTGTCTATGGATCAGTTCCAAACTTTATACCCTATGACATCACAAATTTGAATTTTTGCACTGTAGTTTTTGGATTTGGGAGAGTTGTTCATGTGTAGTTATATTTTTGGACGGTCTTAGACTATAGGAATGGCATTTATAAATTTTTTAAAATTGGGTGTAGTGCCCCTTTAAGCGCTCAAATTTTGACTACATTCCCACATTCCTCTGACGTTAAGCTACATTTCACACAACAAAACAAATTGTCCAAACTAGAAAAGTGCACTCAGTAGAGTTTAGATCTCTGACAGATGGCCATGTTCAGGCTGCCTGGGCTAGTGGCAGCCACTCTAGACAATTCTTGTGATTCCAGCAACTGGAGTTTTAACTGTATTAAAACAGACAGAATAAAGATACAATTTAACTACATAGCCTACTTACTTATGGTAAAAGTATCCTCTGAAATGCTCCTGATGTAGTGTGATGCTGTGTGGTAGACAGAACAAATCCAGGTCGCAGCAAGTACGTGGTGCAGCTGTGCCTGGTGGAATTGTCCCTTCTGGCTCGCTTACAGTCAAGATGGTGATGAGTATTAATAAAAAATTGTGATCTATTCATCTTGTATTGTGCCTAACTTATGTGGAATATAATATATTGGGTATGAAATTATCTGCAGTTGCTTTACTTCTATATGTGACCAAACTTTTATATGGATGTCAGTTTCTGTGCCACAACAAAGGCCAAATGTGGCATGCAACAGGCAGTACGGCTTGTTGATTTCTAAAAAAAACAAACCTACTGGCCGTTTAAGAGGAATGAGGAGTCGGCCGTCAGTGATCGTATAAAACAGTCAATAAAACAGGTTTTTCAACAATGCTGAATCACTGCACTCATGCCAGGTCCATTTGCATTCTGTCATAAATGTGCACACAAAGTATTAGGCTAATAGGTCCAGTAGTTTGCAAGACAGACAGATATAAACACTAACACAACCACACACTTACTCACTCATGGCCACACACAACCAAAAGCATGATCCCTTATAGGCTTACACCTGGGAGAGATAAAAACAGAGCTGTGTTTTTGTCTCTTCGTAATTAAACGTTCTTTTTTTTTTTTTTTAACACCATCCTAAGAAATGGTGGCAGACAGCTCCTGTGTTGTGTTTCTGCTCCCCAGACCGTGATTTTAATGCTACTGTACACACAGCAAAATGCAACCAGGATAACGCATCGAAACACACTGTAACACAAACTCCTTTTCACAGCATGGTGGATTACATTTAACTAAACAACATTACTTCAGTAGTGCTGTGACAGTTCTAAAATAAGAAGAGCACCATTTTACGTTTGAGTTGAGGCTATTCAAGCTGCTCAAATTAGCAATTAAAAGAATATAATGATGTTTTTTGCATAGTTTATGTTTTTGAAGGTGAGCAATGAATATTTTATTTTAAACTGTTNCATTGAATGAGAAGGTGTGTCCAAACTTTTGGCCTGTACTATATATATATATATATATATATGGAATATGGAACAGAAAATGTGCCCATATACTCGGAACATTCCCCAAAGTGCTTTCAGTGTCATCTATAATACACACACGTAAACTACGTGTTTGAAATACAAAGTTAGAATTTCACTCAATGATCCCAATTTAAGGCCCACAAACTATTTTTTTCGAGAGCCTCTGATCATTAAACCACAATCTTCATCAGTGAATGGAGTTTGCTCAGTTGTCATAATCTGCTGAGCGGTGAGCTTGACTGTTATGATTTAAACCATAGTACTTTTAGGGACTTCTTATTCACATTGTCTTAAAAGCTAAGGCTAGAAGGTCTCTCTTGACCTTGAAAACAGAATTTGACTTAACAATCCCTACTAAAGGTCCACCTACTATATAAACCTATGTTTAAATGTCTTCAGGGTCTACAGAGCCTAACCCTAATTCTATCCAATAACTACAAACTTATATATATATATATATATATCACCTATATTTTGTTCAGTGCACTATTCATTCATTCACTGATTTATTATCTGTAAACACTTATCCTGTTGGGGTCGTAGGGGGGGCTGGAGCCTATCCCACCTGACACTGGGTGAGAGGCAGGGTACACCCTGGACAGTTTGACTATCACAGGGCTGAGACAACCATGTACGCTCACACCTGTGTGCAATTTAGAGTCACCAATTAATCTAAGAGAGGGTCCCCGTCCGGGTGGCAGGCTTAAACCTAAAACCTTCTTGCTGTGAGGTGAAAAGTGCTAACCACTGCTCTACCGTGCCGCCCTTTTTTCAGTGCACCAAAGTACACTAAAGCTCCATAACATGAAATGACTGAATGTCAACTCTATACCTGTGAATTCAGAATTTCATTTCTGTGTGTGAACACTTGTGACACAGGGCACAACACTTAAAAAAAAAACCATGATTTAATAAAACAGTGAAAAACATTTTTTGGCTCCACAAGACTCAGTTATTACAAAATGATAAAGACGCTGTCACTTCCCAGCTATGTACAGTTATTTTTGTGTTTTATCCATTTACTATAATCTGATGTCTAATGTACAGTATTAAACAGCATTGAAAGTTGAACAAAATTTTTCTCAGTCTATTCAAAAAAGTCAGTTCTCTTCAGTAGATGTGTGTAATCTGCAGTTGTCGTAACAGATTACATATTCTGTCCAACTGTAAGGATGAGCCGTCTGCTCCTCAGCTCCGCTCCTGATCCATCAGTTCCTGATTGCCATTACATGTCCTCCACGCTCCATTTATATGCTGCCTCCTGGCCAGCCTTTTTATCTGCAATTCGTGAGTAGCGTTTCTTTTCAAAACCATTTGATCTGCAAGACACATACAAATAAAATCCCACTGTTAATTCTACCAATCACACCCGCAACTCCATCTTTGATTTGATGCACCAAAGCAAACCTTCAGTAACGCTCCCAAACAGGTTCAATTTAAAGGGAAATTTTGGTTTATTTCAACCTGTCTCCTATCGTCCTAAATTTGTTTCAAGTGACTAATGACATAAAAATAATAGTTAGCATGTTAGCCGTTAGCCTAGCTACAGCTGGGGCGCATAGTAGCATCAGACCTGTTAAAACGTAGCAGAGCTAAATGGTAAACAAACATGGCAGCAAACCAGTAAGGTAAGACAACACGTTTACATGTAATTTTCTATATGTTCTCTGACATTTATCCTAACAATATGAGACAGTCTTTGTGGAAAAAAGCTTGTTTAGTGGACTAACTTTGCACTTGAAGTATGCCCGTTCACTTACGTTTTAACAGCTCTGACGCTACTATGCGCCCCGGCTGTATCTAGGCTAATGGCTAACATGCTAACTATTATTTTTATGTCACTAGTCACTTGAAACAAATTTAGGACGATAGGAGACAGGTTGAAATAAACCGAAATTTCCCTTTAATGTGGAGGCCAAAACTGTGATCACTATTGTTGTACAAATACTTAAAACAACTGCATGACATGTAAGAGAATAGTATATATGACAGAAGAGGGACATGTGGTCACATTAATCACATTACAAATGCATCCCTCTTTTGGTAGACTCACACACAAACTGTACCTGTCAACTCCATCCCAGCGATAGCCTGGCAGAATATTGAAGCGGTTTGGAGGTGGTGCTGGGCCTTTGTATCGAGGTTTGTCTGCAAAACAAAAATATAATTTTTACACTATAAATGGTAAAGAACCATTTTGCAACACTCTGCTCAGAGAACAAAGCACACATATGTAACCTTGTGTCTTTGTGTTGCGGTCCTTTTTCCGTCTGAGCATCGCAGCCATCGGATCTCCCTCCCTTTCCTGCTCTCTCAACATGCGGTCAAGATCCTCGTCATCTCGGTGACGTGCCAGCGGCTTTTGGGCTTCAAGCACTGCATCTTCAAGTTTCTGTTGATGCATCTGGCCCTGGGCCAACCTATAAACACACGTTGACTTTGATCAAACAAGTCAGCACACAAAACATTTCAGGTCTTGATGTGGTCACAATCACACTCTATGGTCTTTTCTTATGTGTGACAATCTTGTGCAGACTTACCCTCTCCCCCACTGAGCGTATTTTTCATCCTTTGCTGCTTTTTCTCCAGCTTTCCTCTTCTTTTCCTCTCTCTCTGTATCCAAATCCCTCCTTTTACCACTCTTGTCTCGGAACACCGTCTCAGCATTGCGGGATTCGTCTAGTAATAGCAGGAAAATTGGTGTTAAATGTCATCCACTGCATCATTCAACTTCACAAGAACTAGTCACAACTATGACCAAAGACATTTAGAGTATGCATGGATCATGTAGATTATATGAGATGGATAGTCCTGTGAACTCTGTCATTAACAGCTGTGAAGGAAAAGCATCTTAAAAAAAGAAAAGCTGAGCAAACCTTCCAGTGGCTTGTTGTTTTTTTCTCTGCGTCGGTTGTCCGCCTGCTCCTTCCTTAAAACATCTACAGAAACCAGACCTGCCTTCCCACCAGAAAGCATCCTTGGACCCTGAGAAGAAAACAGGTAAAACAACATGGGATCAATTGGATATTGCACACACAGCACTTTCAGGCAAATTAGATTTCATATCACTCTTCTGCCTTCTCTTTGTTCACCTGAGACTGGCCAGGC